CATTTAAACTAAAATTGGAAAGAACATTATTCTGGAGCCAGTCAGTAAGATAAAAAGAATACAATGAATAATGTTCCATAATTATACTTATTTGTCTAAGTATATCAGATTTATATATCCCTTAAAAGTTAAAGTAACTGAAATTACTAGACTGAGCAGGAAAATTCAATATGTGGCCAGATAAAAGATAAATATATCAAAATCAATACCTTATAAAACATTAAGTATCAGTAATTAGATGAAAATAAGAAAAAAGATGCTTCATAACAAGAACTATAATGCGCATAAGGAATAAAATCTGCAAGAAATGTTTAAGACTTGTATGAAGAAAACTATAAACTTTACTGAAGATCATGAAAGACTACAAATAAATAGATGAGATGGTTCAGTAACGTATAGCTATTTCTCCTGTACTTAATTTATAAATTTAATATAATTTCCATCAAATACCAATTGAGTTATTTTTTGGAACTAGAAACATTTATTCTAAAATTCATAAATGTAAGCAAATAGACAAGTACTTTGGAGGGAGAGGGGTAATTAATGGAACAGAACTTGCATTACTGATAATTAGCCATTAAAACAAGATGGTATTAGCACAGAAACTGACAGCAAAGATATATGAAATGGAGTATCTAGACAAGAGTCATGCATAAATGGGTTTTAATATATGAGAAAGGTGGCATCTCAGTTCTGGAACTAGTAGCTCATCATCTAGAAAGGACAAATGTAGTTCCTTTGGTAGGCAGACTCCTAAGATGATCTCCTATGATCCTTGCTTCCTGTACTCACACCCTTGTGTAATCCCCTTGAGTGTGGGCTGGCCTAGTGACTTGCTTCTAACTAACAGATTGTGGCAAAAGTGACGACGGAATGTCACTTCTATGAGTAGGTTATAAAAGATTGTGACTTCTTTCTTACCAGCAGGCTCTCCACTGCTGTCTTGGCTCACAAGCTTTGATGAAGCAAGTTGCCACACTGGAGAGGCCCTTGTGACAAGGAACTGAGGCTGGGCCCTAGCCAATAGCCAGCTAGGAACTGAGGATTTCAGTTCATAGCACTTGAGGAACGTAATTTTGCCAACTTAGAAGTAGATCCTTCTTCATCTGAACCTTTATGTGAGACTCAAGCTCTGGCCAACACCTCGATTGCAGCCTTGTGAGAAATCCTGAAGCAAAGGATCCACCTAAGTCATGACCAGATTCCTGATTCATAGAAACTGAGATAATAAATGCTTATTTTAAGCCACTAAATTTTGTTAATTTGTTATATGATAATAGAAAATGAATACAGCTCCTTACCCTTATCACATACAAATTTCAATCTCAGACAGTATGGTAGGCTGAATGGTGGCCCCCCAAAAAAGATATGTCCACATCCTAATCTCTAGAACCTATGAATGTGACTTATCATACTAAGTCTTTACAGATATAATTAAGGATCTCAAAATGAAATTATCTTGGATTATCCAGGTAGGTCCTAAATCTAATTACAAGTGTCCTTATAAGAAGAGAGACAGAAAGGACAAGGCAATGTTAGATTGGAGTAATGAAGTCACAAGGAAAGGAACACCTGGAGCCACGAGATACCGGAAGAGGCAAGGAACAAAATATCTCCCCTAGAGTCTGCTGACATGACACCTTGATTTTGGACTTCTGGCCTCCAGAACTGTGAGAAAATAAATGTCTGTTGTATTAAGCCACCAAGTTTGTGTTAATGCATTACAGCAGCTCTAGGAAATAATAAAGATGTGGTGATAAAAACTAAATCTATAAAATAACTAGAATATATAATAAGAAAATAGCTAGAAAAATAAAATACATATACTAGAA